GCTGCTCAGCTCGGGCTGACTCGAACCGCTGTTGCTCAGAGCTCAAACTCTTGAGCGAGCTCTTAACCAACTGAGCCACTCAGCCGGCCCATTATATCAAATTTTTAACATGTGTAGTTTTTACCTATAAGCCTTCGTCAAGTGGATCTGAGCCTGCACATGCTGCCCATTCTGAAACTCATGAGAATGGCAGCCTTGCTTCTCACATTGATTTTGGTTATTTTCATCTCATTCACAAACTATAGTACAATATTTAGGTTTAAAATACTTTTATATGCATCACTGCCCTCTAGTGACTAGAATAATTCTTTCCAGTAATCTATTTAACTGACCTCCTTAATGTAAAAGATAAATTAAAAATCTAGTTACTGATCCACTAGCAGAAGGAAAAACCTTTTTCCAGTAAATGTGGGTTGATCAAACCAATTACACTGTTTCTTACTTTCCTGGTCAAAGCATCTAGCTGTGATCAGAGCCACTATCTAAAACCAGAGCACAGGTAGACCACATCTATGTTCCATTATGGATTCTTGTCTTAAAAGGGTTAGCTATGTTGGGGATGACCATTTAGTACTAGCATATTAGGCACATTTCCTTGTCAGCACCCCTCAACTCTTGAGAACATGGCCTCCAAGTGTTCCTTATAGTTTTTATTTCTTGTAATTTATTTTTACAATAAACATAGATTATTTATATAAAGGGGGAACCCACAATACTTTCAAGGAAGGGAGAACATAATCTGGATTACTAAAATAGAAACTTTGCATTTAAGATCTATCCCATGTTTAGAATACCAAGAGGTTGGCTGACATCCTGAAAGACTGGCCTGCTTATCTGTGGGCCAGTTACCTTTAACCTCAGGGAAACCTCTAACCTCACTCACAGAGGAGAATGAACAATAGTAGTAGCTACTATTTACAGGTTAGGTCGTGTCCTTTGCTATTTGTATCATATCCAACAATCCTGTATGGTAGGTGTTACTATCCCCATTTTATAGATTAAACCAAGAGCTTACATAACTGAGTCCAAATCTACACATCTGAAAGGCAAGTAACACTTGAAGGTTAGGCAAGATGCCATCTTCATGTAACAGTTACAAAGTACAAAAAAAACTGATCCAGAAATTGCTCAAGAACAGTATCTAAGAATGTTTACTGGTAAAAGATATGTATTCAAAGATGACTCAACTTCTATTGTTGCCTTCAATTAAATGCTAGCTAGTTATAAATTCAATGAGAAACTTATTCTGTACAGGTGTAGGTAGGTTTGTATTATCCAAACACAAATATAACTAGGTTTGAAATCCTAAAAGTAGAACCTTTAGTTAAATAACTCTTCCAGTATTTACTCAATTAAAAAAAACAAAAAACAAAAAACAAAAACCTAGACAGATAAATATACTCAAGGCTGTGTGAAGCATAAACCAAACTGGCACGTGGACATGTGAACACCTCTCTACCTCCTCCCCTCTCCCAATATGAGCTGTGGTGTCAGTTAGCCATTCCTTGTTGAAGAGCAGAGATCTGTGATTTCCTCAGAGGCTCTCCAATAACAGTAGCATTGATGCCTGAACGTGCATCTTTAAACACATATATCAGGATTTGGGAGCTTCCGGGACCATAACTTTGACCCAGCCTTCCATAACAGTCTTTTTACTTTCTATTACAAAACATGACACTGCGATAAAAGCAATGAACTGCTTCAGCTTTTTCACTTCTGCCGAAGCTAAAACAACTTCTCCAACATATAAAGGGGCTGGAAACTTAATTTCCTGGGAAAGAAATACACAGCCTGGTCCTGGCATTTTAGTACCCAGAAGAGCTGAAATAAGTCCATTGATCAAAACTCCATGCACAATTGTCTTTCCAAACTTGGTGTTTTTTGCAAAATCTTCATTTAAATGCAAAGGATTGACATCCCCTGTTAATTCTGAGAAGGTAACCACATCCCTCTGTGTGAAGGCCCTGCTGAGTTCAGCCCGGTCTCCAACTCTGATGTGCACAGGCTGAAAGCGCTGTCGGCTTAGCTCTGGTTGGTTCAGGCAGATTCTCCTCTGAAGCCCAGCCCACCACAGATGACGGCTAGAAATTACTGGGAACATCTTCAGCTCCCTCAACAAGTTTTTAGCCTGCTTCAGTCTTCAAACATTATGCTGGCATCAAAAAGTACTTTTGAGAGCGGAGGAACGTTTCTGAAATTGAAGACTATTCAATCCAATACTAGTTCCCTACTATTACCAGATAATGCAAGGAGAAATGGAGAAACCTATAAGAGAAGGAAAAACGTTAACTCAGGATCAAGAAAAAATTGCACTGAAACACAGGGCAATATAGAAACCCACCCAGTTTTATAGGACAAGCCAAGCTGATGTAGTAGCATTTTAATGAGAATCCTAAGAGGTAGCCGAAATAAAAAGTGGTCATGATAAGCTCAGAAAGAGCATTCCGATACATAAGGCACTAGGCATGAAGCAATAAAAGAAAAGTTGAGACTTTTCAATAAGATTTTCAAGTTTTATCCCAAAACTCCTCTCATACAATCTAAAATCTAAGTGCTTTGTCTCACGTTTTTGGAAGCAATTCCTGGATTTGTCCCCCCAGCTGGATAATGTTAACCATACTAGATTTATGCAAGCACAAAAATGGAACACATTAAATAGCAGTTTAATCCACTACTAGACCTGTCTTTGAAGGAATAGTCTTTACCTGAATCACTCTGAAAGCACACTTCTTGCCTTTACAGGATCCTAACAGGGTCAAAGAGCTCCACAATTTGACAAGACCACTGTGGAAAAATCAAGAAAGCATAAATTAAGATTTGTCCTTGCAATATCTCCATAGTACTTTTGCTTGTGATGGTCCAGAAACCTAATTTAAATGAGAAAACTTTAAAAGTGAAAGGACAGTGTATCATAGGCAGAGAATTAAGAATGTTTTTAAAATATATATTTCTGAGTTTGCAGCCATGATTATCAATGGGAAACACCACAGTTGTAAGTAAATCCCAAGTTTTAAATTTCTACTGAATGAATATTCATATTCTCCCCAGTTTAAACTTCTAAAAGCTGCTCAGAGTTCACAATGACAAAGCTCTTCTTATTTGAAGAGAGCATTTCTGCTCTCTCTCTCCACCCGTCTCTCTGCTCTGTTATACTAGAAATGTTCCACGGTCTGCCGTACCTGCTACATATTCTCAAGATGGCTGACAAGGTCTTCTCTTCGTAGGTGAGGATGTCCACGGGTAAAGCAGCACCAACCTAAGTATGGAATAATGCTATTAGTAGACTATTATCATCATTAGTCTTGAACTCTAATAATTAATCTTGTCAATTGCATTTCTCCTCCAAAAAAGCAATATTTTATTTAATGGTCTTGGAGTACTGGACCTGCTTATTTACAACTCCCCCTCTGCCTTGAATGCTGTAACTCTTCACAATGCTAATGCCTCTTCACCCTTCAAGTCTTCATTTAAATTGTTCCTTCCCCAAGATTAAGCTCAATCACTTGCTATGTCCTTTCATGTACAGGACCCACATACTTCTGCTTTCATAAGACTCATCATTCTTGCCATTAATCTCTTCAACATGGTTCCCTACTAAAAATAACCAGGGCCATTAGTCCATGAGACAGAGGCCATGTCTGTTTGTTTATAGCTATGTCCCCAGGAACCAGGTTTTATACCTAACACATAAAAGGTGCAAATTTTTTTCCTTAAATTTTTTTTTTTAGATTTTTATTGGGGAATTGGGGGAAAGGGAACAGACAAGTTGCTGTCCTTTTGTTCTTCAGTCTAGTTGTGGAGGACACTGCTTCACTGGCCCAAGTTGGCACCATCATTGCACTCTTCCAGGGCAAGGCAGATCAGTCGCTGGCTTCTGGACAGCCGCTCACGGTGGCTGCTGGCTACACACAGTAGCCCATGACAACCCACTGCAGCAGGGGCTGCAGCCTATGCCATCACTGGCGACTCACAGCAGCCCAGCTCCAGGTTAAGCTGTTGTTCAGCATCTTAGCTGTAGAGGGCAGTGTCACTGGCCCTCATATGTGGGATCCGAACCGGGGCCCTCTGGTGCCCCAAGCCAGCTCTTAACCAACACGCCACTCAGCCGGCCCCTTAAATTTTCTATTTTGAAAAATTAGAGGGCTGGCCGAGTGGCTCACTTGGTTAAGAGTGCAAGCTCTGAGCAACAGGGTCACTGGTTCGATTCCCACATGGGCCAGTGAGCTGAGCTTGAGCTGAGCTGCCACTGAGCTGCCTACAGGTGGCAGGATGGCTTAGATGGTAAGAGCACAAGGCTGCCAGTTTGACTCCCGCATGGGATGGTGGGCTATGCCCACCTGCAACTAAGATTGAACAAAGCACCTTGAGCTGAGCTGCCACGAGCTGCCGACGGGCAGCCAGATGGTGACTGGACTTGGAGCTGACCTAGCTACACCCTCCACAAGTAAGACTGAAGGACAACAACTTGGCTGTTCCCCTTCCCCAATAAAATCTTAAAAAAAATAAAATAAAATTTCCTGAAAAATTACCTTTATTCTCTCTCAAAACTTGTTTTCAAGCGAATGCTAAAATAGGACTACTGCTCAAAGTGCTATTCCGTGATGATGAGCTACATCAAATTGTAAATCAACAAATCACTAATCACACTGTTTAGTTCAGCTTAGTATTTTTCCTAAGGAGCCTTTCTCAGTAAAGGAAGTGGTGTGCTGATTTACATGCTAGTCTAAGTCACAAATCTTCTAAACAGGCAAAACAACAGTTTGCAGGCTGCTAGTCGGGACCATACTTTGAGTAGCACTGCACTAAAATAAACATCTGTCTAATGAATTCCTTGTCAAAAAGAAATCATATTAGAACAAACCTACCAAAACTTCATTTCTGCAAGTCTAATTCTGAAATTTCAAATACGGTTTTAAAGTTTTTAAACAATATTTGGAAAAGTGTCCTTTCAATATTTACTACGAAGATCTTAGAAGTGTTCAATCTACCAGTGATTTCATACCTCTCCAAAAAGGTCCTTTAGGGCTGAAATAAGCAGCTGCTTGAACTGTGCAGCATTCAGTCCAACTCCACAATCTTGAAATTCTCTGTAAAAAAGAAAAAATACTTTGTATTAAACTTCATGCTATTCAGATTCATAAAAAAGTAATCAAAAGTAGAACATAGAAGACTGAACTTACAGGCAGACTTTCATGTAGTGGTGCTCAGAGGGATTTTTGTAAACTATTCTTTCATATGTGGCAGCTGGGGCTGGCATTTTTTCCATGCTGATTACACCTACATTGAGTCAAGAGGGTTAGACATTAACAAGGTACAAGGTATTTTTCACTTTGTTAATGAGAATTTGACCTATTTGATTTTTAAAGAATTCCTAAGGACAGTAACTCATCTAATTCTGGTCAAACTAAGGTTGCCCATACAGACACAAAGGAAGCTTCTATATTTCATATATGCCAGACAACTGTATTATTTAAATTCTAGTAACATAATCCCACCAAACATTTTCCCCTACTGAGTACCCAGCTCTGTACTAAATGTTTTACATGCCTTAGGCCATATGTCTTCAAAATGATCCTGAGACAAAAGCTATTGGGTTGTCGGAAAAGTCATGACGCATTTTTGCAACGAAAAACATAGAAAAAACACGTCATGACTTTTCCGACAACCCAATATTATTATTTCCATTTTTGAGAAGAGGACATTGAAGCTTGACAAAGATAAGGAACACCTGTGCAAGGGAACAAAGATTCCAACCACTCCCAGCACCTTCAAGACCCTCTGGTATCATGCCTCTTAATCCCCCGCCCCAAAAAAGAGTAAAAACATAAAGGAGTAAATGTGGGATCTGGAGGCCCTCTTCTTGTTTACTCTCCGTCAACACAGAACATAAACAGGAAAATGAGGGGTGGCAGTTCTATGACCCTCCCATGTTGGAGCTGCAAGTTGTCTCTGTCAGGCCAGGTCAACAAAGGGCTATTTGGCAGCCCCATGAAAGACTGAGCTTAAACAGCAACGGGTGAGAAGAGCAATTCCTGGAATGGGCACTCAGTGCCATTTCTAACAGATCTGAAACTTTCAAGAACTCAGAACATGCTGATCCTCTGGTAAAGAATCCCTGCCTTTGGCTCTACTCCCACTTTACTCTCCCTCTGGATAGTGCCTACTCATCCTGCAAATTCTAGCTTACAGTTCATCTCTTCCAGGACTTTTACCTCTTCGGGGGGGGGGGCATTCTTTGACACTCTGTTCTGTTAGGTTCCCTTGTTATGCAACCTCTTAACACTGTCCATTTGTTTATTATCTGGTTCCCCCACACAGGAACCAGTAAAACTGAGGCACAACCAAGGAAAGGGACTTATCCAAGGTCACATCACTATAGACCAGCATTTGCAAAATCCTCTCTGGGTCAGGCCAGTTCCAGCCACTCCCAGAGAGTGACCGCCAGAGAAAATGATAAGTCATCCATGAACCAAAGTGTGGTCCATGAGAACTATTATACATCCATCCATTCAACAAACATGAATATTGACTGTGTCTGGCACAGATAGGTATTCAACAGACTTACTGAATATATGACTGAATGATGGAAGCACTCGGCCTATATGTTCAAGAGCATCTTTGGTTTCAGGACTGCAGCAATGGCTACCTGGGGCTTCTTTCCCAATCTCTAGTCTCCCCTGACTAGGACAGGAGAATAGGATCCTTAATCACTTCATTCATTGCCCGGCACACGATAAGAGTTAATTTTAAGTGTTACTGACTACCTTGATGGAATTGGCTGCCTAAGGTAGGGGAAAGAGATTGAGCCTGGGCTTTAGGATGCCAATAACAATGAAGACTTATGGAGTAGTCTGGAAATGGACAGTGGTGATAGCTGCACAATATGTGTACTTAATGCCAAGAAACTGTAAATTTTAAAAAAATTGTTGGGCCAGCCGAGTGGCGCGATGGTTAAGAACTGGCTTGGGATGCCAGAGGGCCCCGGTTCGGATCCCACATATGAGGGCCAGTGACACTGCCC